GACCCCGGGCGCTACATGCGGGCAGACGAGGCGGCGCCGGGGCTGCGGCCGCACGATGCCGAGGTGGACGCCACGCTCAAGGCCCTCAACAACCAGATCGAGAGCATCCGCAGCCCCGAGGGCTCTCGCAAGAACCCGGCCAGGACCTGCCGAGACATCAAACTCTGCCACCCCGACTGGAAGAGCGGTAAGAGAGAGGCTCCGTCCCTGTGTCCGTCCCTGTGTCCATCCCTGCCTCCATCCCTGCGTCCCCCCCTCCTCCCTGTCCCCTCCACTGCCCACTTGGACACCAAGGACCATGGTGACTTCTTCGCTGACCCCACGACCATGTGGTCACTCACTCCATGCCCTCTGGCCGCAGGTGATTACTGGATCGACCCCAACCAAGGCTGCACCCTGGATGCCATCAAGGTCTTCTGCAACATGGCCACGGGGGAGACATGCGTGTACCCCAGCCCCGGCAGCATCCCCAGGAAGAACTGGTGGAGTAGCAAAGCCAAGGAGAAGAAGCACGTCTGGTTCGCCGAGACCATCAACGGCGGCTTCCACGTGAGTGTCCGGCCGGGATGAGCACGGAGAACACGCAGGGAAAAGGGGTGGGCAGGGATTTTATGGGAAAGTCGGAGCTGATGTCGTTCCTTGGGGTGAAATTTCTGGTGATTCTATCAGATATTGGGTGATTTGAGGATTATATGGAAATCCTGGAGCTGATGTCCATCCTGGGGGTGGAATCAGTGCTGGTTGGGTCAGAACTGGTTGATTTAGGGGATATTATGGAAAACTTGGAGTTGATGTCCCTCCTTGGGGTGAAATAGATAGCATTTGGATCAGAACTGGTTGGTCCAGAGGACTTTATGGAAATCTTGGAGCGGTGTCCTTCCTTGGGGTGAAATTTATGGGTTTTGTACCAGAACTGGTGGATTTAGAGACTTCCATGGAAATCTTGGCATAAGGCCATGACACCTACACCCCTCTGGGCAAACAAACCCTGGGAATTCCCCTGAAAAACTCCCCCAAAAAAGCCAGCTGAAGGCCTCCCTCCTCCCTGCAGTTCAGCTACGGTGCTGAGGACCTGGCACCCAACACGGCCAACATCCAGATGACTTTCCTGAGGCTGCTGTCCACCGAGGGCTCCCAGAACGTCACCTACCACTGCCGCAACAGCGTGGCCTACCTGGACGAGGAGTCGGGCAGCCTGAGGAAGGCGCTGCTCATCCAGGGCTCCAACGATGTCGAGATCCGCGCCGAGGGCAACAGCAGGTTCACCTACAGCGTGCTGGAGGACGGCTGCACGGTGGGTGCCAGGGAGGGAGGGGGGAAATGGGGGCAGACTCTGGAAATCGTGGGGTTAACGGGTGGGGAGGAAGCCTGGAGGTCAGCAAGGGTGACGCCTGAGGTGACAGCATCTTGTCACCAAGCGCCACCAGGCTTTGAGCCACAGCTGCAGCTGGTGCTCCAGGGATGGGGACTCCAAACCCCATTTTCCAGCGTTTTCCCTCAGAAACGCGCTGGGAAGCGCGGCCCTTCTGGGTTTAGTGATGAAATGGGGCTCAAAATGAGATTGGGAAGGTTCTGGAGGATTCAATAATCCCATTTTTGCCCGTTTTTCCCTCAGAAACACACGGGGAAGTGGGGCAGGACTGTCATCGAGTACCGCTCGCAGAAGACCTCGCGCCTGCCCATCGTGGACATTGCACCTATGGACATTGGGGGCCCCGAGCAGGAGTTCGGGGTGGACCTCGGCCCCGTCTGCTTCTTGTAAAAAAAAAAAAAAA